TACAGTCTTAACCCCAGGCCTGATGGGATAGCCAGATTCTGAGAGCTGTGCGGGAGGTCTGGAGGGTGGTGAGGGTATGAATCTCCACGGGGAGATCGTTCCATAGGGTCAGAGCTGCCACCGAGAAGGCTCTCCTCCGCGTGGTTGCCAGTCGGCATTGACCGGCAGATGGAACTCGGAGGAGGCCTAATCGATGAGATCTAATAGGTCACGTGGAGGTAATTGGCAGTAGGCAGTCTCTCAAGTACCCAGATCCACTACCATGGGATGATGTGATCACTTTTTGCGACAATGGAGTCAATGGAGAAGCCAGATTCACTTAATGACTTAATAAACAGTTGCAGGGATGAGGCAAAATTAAAAACGATCTCACTTAGCAAAATAAATTTTGGGCTCAATTGTGGTCATAAGTCAAGGACTATCTATATTATGTACTGATGTTTTGACATAAGTCAACGCATTTGCATGATGACCTCGTCACACATTTTCATCATTTATCACTTTAGAGAGACCTACACTGGCAAAGTAAGTTGTAGGAAGATTGCATGGCCCCAAAGTGACTCGAGAAACTAACTCTGTTACATTTTCTGGGGTTTATCTAAAAATCTATACTTCGCTTCTCCCTGTTGGTGGGACTAAAAATCCTTTAGTCTGCTTATTTTGTCCTAATTATTAAGCTCTCCATAGAAATAAAAAAAGTCAGATAATTCCCATGATCATACAAAATAGCCTAAATTAAAATTAAAATTCATACTGTGTTAGTTTGTTCTTTACTGTTATAAACTGAATATCTTTAATGTCAATTTGATACAGATTCCTAATTGAATGCTTTTAAAATAAATCTGAATAGAACAGCTGAAAGAAATACAGTAGCCTAGGAAATGTAGCAAAACAATCTTTGACTTATTTCTCTATTTCACAGTGTGAGTCACATGCTTTGAAAGTGATAGATATATATATTTAAAAAATCTTTCAAAGAGGCACTGCAAAGATTTACATTTCTTTAAAGAAAAACACTCCAGGCCTTTTTTTTCCCCAGTGTGAATGTTGCACTAATTTGCTTAGATGTGTTCACGAAGGTTCTCCTCCCTACCCCAACTTTCTCTCTTTAAGTTAATTCTATAGGGAATCACTAAAACCCTGTAATTCTCTCCCTTCAATGGTCCTAACAATCAGGGCTTTATTTCCCTTTAATAATGGTTTAAAATTTTGGCACTTGCTGCACATTTGAAGCAGCTTTGCTTGTTGTACAACTTGAGAAATTATGTATTTATTCAGGGTTGATTGCTTCCACTCCGCAAGCATTTGGCATAGATAAAAGGAAATGTTTCAGAACTGGCTAAATTGGGCAAATTACTCATTTGAACATGAAATGCATTGCTATGGTTAGGAGGGAATGTGGGGAGGGGGGAGATACTTACTGCATGGATGAGCAAGGACTCTGACTTCATCCACCGCTATGTACCCAGGGTGACTCTTCAGGGAAACCGATTCAAATATGACCTGAAATTCATAGGAGACAAGAAGCTGATTAAGTAAACAATTGAAAATAGTACACAACACATCCCTCTAACATCCCTTAAGTACAAAGGATTCAGATTCTGTAACAGATGCTTTACAGATAGTCCTTGTTTAGGAAACACAACTGAACAGTAAATCGGTTGTTAAGCAAAGGGATTGCTAAGTGAAACCACAACTATATTTATGATCTTACTTCAGCTTCCCTTTGCTTCCACAGAGCAACCCACTTAATTCCCAAATTTACTTATGTGTATGTGTGTATGTGTGTGTGTGTGTGTGTGTATCTTTTCCCTCTTCCCAAAAAGTGTGCAAATATGCATGTATGTAAAACACCTTACCTTAAAAATCAGTACTAGAAATAAATATAATCATGAAGGCAGCTAAGTCTTAATTGTCCCAGAACTATGATTGCAGAAAGAATAATATATTAGAGAATGGGTTAATGGCCAGACAATAAATGGTTAAAAATAATGTGCTACAGAAGAAATCTGAACAGCATTTACAAGATTTTATCAAGATGCTTCAAGACAAATTATGAAGGGATATAAAGTCCTTGAAAATATTTTTTCTGATAAGATTTTTCAACTCCCTATAGTTATGGAAAGGTCATAGAAAACAACATCTTGATGAGGTGGTTAACTATCAGAATTTAATCAATGATAAGGATAAAATATGTGAGGCTAAGGTAACCAAGAAATCAAGATGATGTAATCCAGCATTGTTTATTTTTAAAAAAAAGAGCTGGAGGGAAGAGAAATCTGAAGTGCCATTTTTTATTCCGTCAAGATTCATCCTGAAGGACACTCCAAGTTGATTTCCCATGCTCTTTCATTGCCTGGCAACAAGAAGGATCTTTGATATGTAAGGTCTAAATGATGGATGTTCATACGTTGCTAGAATACAGCTTTTAAACCAGAAGTGCCCTAGAATTGTTGGATTATGTTGTTAGATGGTCCTAATTCTATAACAGAGGACAAACTTCCTCCTAAATACTGAATTGGTTGAGAGTAAGGGAAATATTAAGGGAATCATGGTTAGAGAGAGGTGCTGAGATCCACAAAAAGAGAAAGACGCTCTGCCCACCCACTCGGACGCTCTGCGCATGCGCAGAAGCTTCTGCACATGGCAGGAGTGTGCACTTGCGCACAAACAAACCAATATTAAAAAAAATGGAAACCCACAATTGGTGTACAGTGTCTGAGGCGTACAGTGCCTCTGAATGGCAAGGAAAACTAGACTGTACAGATAAATATATTTTAGTTCTCATGTTGTTAGGATACATTCTTATATCTGATTTGTGAATTGTGGTCATTTTAGTTAATTTTCTTACTATTATTCCTACACAAATGAAGGCAAATATAGTATCCCAGGATAATTGTTGCAGTATCCAATCTGGATCAGCCACTGGGTACAAAGTCTTTAGTTTTCTGAGCTTTGGGCTCCAGCATGAGTATGAAAGCTCAGAAGATTAAACCTCTGGTCTTTGTGACTGACCCAGATTGGATCCTGCATTGCTACTACCCTTTTCCTCCTCCTCAAGTTCCTCAAGGATCAGAAATGTCACTAAAGAAGATTGGGCTAAATCTTCTTTAGTGACATTTCATTTAATGAAATGTTCATTTCATGGATGCAGTTCATTTAACAGAAAATATTTTAGCCCTTTCTCACTTTCAATTGCAAGATTGAAAATAAAATAAAATAAAAACCAATAGAAAGGGAGCAATTTGCTCTTTAAAAGCTACAGTGGCCTACAGGCTTGCCCATCGCTATGGTAAAAGAAAAGAAATCAAGTATACCTGATAAAAGTGTGGCCAGAAAGTACTGATCGCAAGCTCTGCTTTCACCCAACCTTCTGTAACAAGCCCAGTGACATTCCAGATGGGGTTGCCTTGAGGTCCACCATTCACTTTCACATAAACATTCAAGGATCCAGGGCTGGAACGGTCACGGCTGGACAAGTAGTAATGGAAATCAATGCAGTGAGTGTCATTTTCCTTCAGTGTTGGTAAAAGCAAGTGGGCCTTTTGCCCAGAGGCCCTCCCAGAACTATTCACCATCATGAAGGAGCCTACAAAGAAAAGAAAAACAAGGAAAAGATCAGTAGTTCCATTTCCCGATATTACAACTAAATTAATTAAAGAGTCAATAGTTCTAAATAATCAGACCAAGAGTCAAAAACCCCAAACAGCTATTAATTTTCTCAGATCTATTACTGTTATTACAATTCAGCACTTTTCTGAGGTAAAAAGAAAAACACCAGAAATGACAAATACTTTTGTATCCACTGCTTGCATCATCAGCTAAAGAAGGCCATTTGTTATTATGTTCAGATATTTTCCACCTTGGATTTCAAACTGTCTGACAGGAAAATATTGACTTCAGTCATGAAGAGCATATCACACTCCCTTTTCGCTCTACTGAAGTTACACTACCAGACTCTTTTGATTGCATACACAAACAATATTAAGCTGTCTGTTTTTTTAACATGTCCATATTTATAGATTACAATATATCAAGAATCCTACAATTTGGGAGATCACGTAAATGTTTGGAAAAATCACTGAATTGTATTAGGCAGAGTTTTCAAAATGATTGTTTCAGTGGCGTGGCTGTTGACACAGCTCTCATCTACAAGATGGAAAACTGGTAATGGTAGAAGAACCATATTTACTAAGAAGCCTAACTATAAGGTGAGAAATAAAGTCCAGAATGTAAAACCATTCTTTGGAAGCTTCATTTTTCAACTTCAATGGTTTTTGAGAGAGAAATTGATAAGATTTGGAGATTATGAGTCAGGGTGGTTCCACTCTAAATTCACACATTTGTTCCTGCAAAAAAATAACTAAATTCACAGTAAATCATCTTTATACTTTTTACCCCCCAAAAAAGGTCCACGGATATATTCATGTAGTTAGCAGAACTGAGATAAACTCATTAAAAGTGTTATCCTTTAAAACTGATAATACATTTAGAACTCATATTTGCAGTCTAAGCAAAAAGTATGCCAAAATAAATAAACTAATAACCACATATAGTACATATTTACCCACATTTTGCTCAACTTCAGAAAAACTATTTTCTATATTATAAGTTGTGTTTCAAGTTTGATGCATGATTTCTACAATCAACTTCTTTCTAACACATCTACTTCACACGTGCAACTACTTTCCACCAGTGATGTAAACTGTCATCTGGTAACATTACTATGGTGATAAAACACTAATATGAGCAAGGTTGGTATTCCTAAAGCAATGGCTGTGTGATTCTATAAATCACCTGCATGGACTTTTTGTGCTATTTGCCATGGTTGCTGACTGCATAGTTCAATAAATAACCAACTAACCCTCAGACTAGCAGTCTAAGCAATTGCCTGGATTCTTGCTTCTTAATTAACCTTGGTGGAGAAAAAAGTGTTCCATAGTTTGATAGATGTTCTTCCTAAGACTTGATAAATCCAAAGACTTCAAGCTATTCAATGTTAATCCAAGTAGCATACTTTATTCATTTGTTTATTTGATTTATACATCTATCCACCTTGTAAAACATAACTCTGTGTGGCTCACAACAATAAGAAAAACCACAGCAAAAAACCCCAAAATAATTAGGATAAGTAATCATCAAATTTGCAGATGACACCAAACTGCCAGGAATAGCCAACACTCCAGAAGATATGCTAAAGATACAGAAGGATCTTAACAAAGTTGAACATTGGGCACTGTCTAACAAAATGAAATTCAATGGTGAAAAGAGTAAGGTTCTACATTTAGGCAACAAAAACAAAATGCACAGCTACAGTATAGGTGTTACCTTGCTCAACAGTAGTAACTGTGAAAGGGATCTTGGAGTCCTAGTGGACAACCATTTTAAATATGAGCCAGCAGTGTGCATCAGCTGCCAAAAAAGCCAACACAGTTCTAGGCTGCATAAACAGAGGGATAGAATCAAGATCACGTGAAGTGTTAATACCACTTTACAATGCCTTGGTAAGGCCACACTTAGAGTACTGCATTCAGTTTTGGTTGCCACGATGTAGAAAAGATGTGGAGACTCTAGAAAGAGTGCAGAGAAGAGCAACAAATATGATTAGGGGACTGGAGACTAAAACATATGAAGAACAGTTGCAGGAACTGGGTATGTCTAGTTTAATAGAAAGAAGGACTAGGGGAGACATGATAGCAGTGTTCCAATATCTCAGGGGTTGCCACAAAGAAGAAGGAGTCAAATTATTTTCAAAGGCACCTGAGGGTAGAACAAGAAGCAATGGGTGGAAACTAATCAAGGAGAGAAGCAACTTAGAACTGAGGAGAAATTGCTTGACAGTTAGAACAATTAATCAGTGGAACAGCTTGCCTCGAGAAGTTGTGAATGCCCCAACACTGGAAGTCTTTAAGAAGATGTTGGAGAGCCATTTGTCTAGTCCCTTATCTGAAATGGTATATAATCAGGTTCTCCTGATTGTGCAGGGGGCTGGACAAGAAGACCTCCAAGGTCCCTTCCAGCTCATTCTTTCTAAGGAACCTGACCTACCATTGCCAATCACTCAATCAATCAACCAACCAACCAACCCATCATACAATAGATTCCTATGTCTCACCAGTTTACGAGATGGAACCTGGAATGTACCCACTCTATTTAACCTAGGCAGATATCTTTCAGAAGATGCAATTCTTCAAATAATTTGACCTTGTGCCCTGTATGCCCAGCACTTTGAATCTGGGTGCATTCAAAGGAAGCCTAACTACCAAATGATAGTTGGGCTCACTTTGGACAAAGTGAATTTCTTTGAAGAAATCTTCACAAAACATGTCAACCCTAGCTATCTGTCTTTTTGTGCAAGTAAAAAAGCACTTCTCATTTGTTGCTGATGTTGTCCTTACCAGAGATGTCATTTAAATAAATACTGAGTTGGGAGTAAGGCCCTTTGAAATTAATGGAAGATAAACTTCAGCCGTAGTAAAATGCCCTGGTTTTCAGATAAAGCATGGGCAAACTATTGCAAAATTGCCAGCCTTTTAATTAGTTGCCTAGAGCAAGACGTTTCAGATTTTATGTATAAGATAGGATTCAGTAATAGAAAGTGTCCTGGGTTGTGGGGGCACAATATAGGCAGGCAAACTGTCCTTCCTGTATGAAAGATACAATTATCTGCATGCATACTGCAAACTGAGTTCAGTGAAGCTTCTTCATTTATGAAAAGTCCTTCTTGTTCTCCTTGGATCTGCCTCTGTGGAAGTCAGGTGTCCAGTCTCTCTGGCAGTCAAAGCCAAAATAGTTATAGTCCTGAGGGAGCAGCATGCCTGCAGCAGTTTCATGTCGCCAAGAATTTGAATAAATCACAGATCCTCACTACATTATCATCAACATGGTTGAGGAAGATAAAAATCATTTCTATAGCAAAATACATAGTATTAGGAAAAAAGAGGAGGAAAGACTCCTAAATTTGAATGATGTTGCTTATAAACAGATGTTGATGCAAAGGTAACATCAACAACCACAAAAATTGATTTTTTGATTTGACATTGTTGTGCCTTGATTATCAGGACATCTTTTCCTCTAATTATCTTTTTCCTATCTAACTGATCTTTGAAGTAGCTTATTCTCTCTCTTGTTGTGTCTTTCCTTTTTCAATCTGCCTCCAGCTTTCTTTCTCTCTTTTCTTCTGCTGCTTTCCCATTTTCCCTCTTTTCCTTCTGGAGAATTGTTAAATAAAACAATACTTTTTTTTTTCCTTTTCATCATTTTTTAAATAAAAAAAATACAATTTCAGCTATGATTCCTGAAGTCCTGACTTTCTCTTTTCTTTTTCCTTTTCAAGGAATGTTCTTGTGAAACTGAATGGTCTGGGTCATGACGGGTGTCACATTATATGTTATTGAAGTGCCAAGTTAAAACAAACATTGGGTGGGGCTACAAGCTAGGCTTGCTTGGATATGATTCTCTTTCTTTTCCTTTCTATGTCATCTTTTCCCTTTTATTTTCTTATTCCTTTTATTTTCTTTCACCCTCCAAATCCTGGGAGCTATAGAGGAAGAAACAGCTTCTGCCTGCCCAGGATCTGAACTTACCACTTACAAAGTTTCTGAAATTAGATCAAGGGCCACATGAAGTTCATTAAGGAGTCCAGTGTTCACCAGAAGTTTAATCCTCAAATACAGACAGTTCAGGCAAAGCTAAATTATTGCAGACACCAGATGAGCAGAGATAAACTCATGATATTACTGTACATGGTAAATTACTCTGGAATTAAATACATGATTTACATCAACTTGCCATTGTGGGAAAATATTGATGGAGGCAAATATAAATCATTGTATCCTCTTCACTGTTTTTCTTCCTCAATACATATATGAAATCCATGGATCTATGTAGGAAAATAAAGTTACTATTCTCAACTAATATTTTTTTAAAAAACACTATTCTCTTTCCTTTTTATGTTGCCTTTTCTTTTCCACTTTCTGATCCTTTTTTTTTCTTTTATCATCCTTCACATCCTGGGAGTTATAGAGAAAGAAACAGATTTTGCCTGTTCAGGAGCTGAACTTACCACTTACAAAGAGTTTTTGAAATTAGAGCAAAAACACAATACATTTTATTAATGCATCCAGTGTTCACAAGAAGCTTAATTCACAAATGCAGACAATTCAGACACATATTACATATCTGAAGATACACAATTGCTTTTTATCTATTCAGAAAATAGTTTTCTAGAGGAGAAAGGTCCATGGGAGTATTTGACCTAAAAGTAATAAAAAATAATAGTTTCATGAATTTAGGAAAGTACCATTGGGGTCATGAAGAAAATTAGACCCATTGGCATTCCTGCAAAAATATTCATACATATTTTCCCCAGTGGAATAGATTGTAATACCATTATGCCACACAATAAAATAATTAAACCTTTGTAACCCATGACAGGTTATGTGCAGAAAATCCTTTCTAGTTGTCCATCATTTCCCTTTGTTAGTAACATTATAAATGATTACACATTAAAAATAATGAGAATTATTAGTTTTATTCTCTTTAAAGAATCTACTTTGGGGATGTCTGCAAACATGCCTTCAGGAAAAC